TTCAAGTTTGCTTCAAGGTTGCTTCAAGTTTGCTTCAAGTTTGCCTCAAGTTTGCTTCAAGTTTGCTTCAAGTTTGCTTCAAGTTTGCTTCAAGTTTGCTCAAGGTTGCTTCAAGTTTTCTTCAAGTTTGCTTCAAGTTTGCTTCAAGTTTGCTTCAAGTTTGCTTCATATTTGCTCAAGGTTGCTCCAAGTTTGCTTCAAGTTTGCTTCAAGTTTGCTTTAAGTTTGCTCAAGGTTGCTTCAAGTTTGCTTCAAGTTTGCTTCAAGTTTGCTTCAAGGTACCTTCAAGTTTGCCTCAAGTTTGCTTCAAGTCTGCTTCAAGTTTGCTTCAAGTTTGCTTTAAGGTTGCTTCAAGTTTGCTTCAGGTTTGCTTCAAGTTTGCTTCAAGTTTGCTTCAAGTTTGCTTCAAGTTTGCTTCAAGTTTGTTTTCCTAAAGCTGGTTGTTCCTGTGTTTTGTCTGTAGTGTGTGTCTGTTAATAGAAAGATATGATCAGACCCCCCGTACAATATTATCTATCTTCTTAGATCACTTGTCATAAATATCTATACTGGGAGAATACTTACATGGGTAAATATATAGGGTGGTGTGTAGAGTAGATCTCTACTAAAGGATTGGACACTATCCCCCCTGTAGAGTAGGATTAATTTACCCCATTAATTTCCTTTTCAAAGTTTGAGTGATTTCAATGAATGCTCAGGTTCACCCACAGGGTTCAGGACTACTTAGGGAGCTGTACTTATTCACACATACACACAGATATATCATACAATACAGTTACAGACAGATATATCATACTATACAGATAACGACACATACAGACAGATTCAATATACAATACAGATACATCATACACTACAGATACAAATAGATATATAATACAATACAAATACAGACAGATCATCATACAATCCAGATAGATGGTACACAATACAATACAGATACAAGGTACATAATACAATACAGATACACGGAACATCACACATTACAGATACACGGTACACAATACAATACAGATACACGGTACACAATACAATACATACAGATACACGGTACACAATACAATACAGATACACGGCACACCACACATTACAGATACACGGTACACAATACAATACAGATACACGGTACACAATACAATACAATACAGATACACGGTACACAATACAATACAGATACACGGCACACCACACATTACAGATACACGGTCCACAATACAATACAGATACACGGAACACCACACATTACAGATACACGGTACACAATACAATACAGATACACGGTACACAATACAATATAGATACACGGTACACAAGTACAATACAGATATACGGTACACAATACAATACAGATACACGGTACGCAGTACAATACAGATACACGGTACATAATATAATACAGATAACTGGTACATAAAATAATACAGATACACGGTACATAATATAATACAGATACAATACAGATACACGGTACGCAGTACAATACAGATACACGGTACACAATACAATATAGATACACGGTACACAAGTACAATACAGATATACGGTACACAATACAATACAGATACACGGCACATCACACTATAATACAGATAAATGGTACATAAAATAATACAGATACACGGTACATAATATAATACAGATAAATGGTACATAAAATAATACAGATACACGGTAAATACAGAGCTCCAATCGTTACAGTATCTGATCCCGTACAACATGTACTGTATATGCATTCACTCGTACTTTCCCAGTGTAAACCTCTTATGCATCAAATACAATACCGATAAAATATACTATATAATGCAATATATTACAAAAAAATTTATCAAAAAATAAAAAACAAAAAAGTTAATGAAGAATAGTAGATATATATATATATCTATCAAGTATCTATATATAAAAAGGATGCAAAGTATAAATGTTTGAACTTGAGGTTAATTCTAGGGATGTGGAGCAAAGATTTGATTTGAGTGCGCGGTTACACTTTACTCTTTTTGTTACTTACTTAATTTCCTTCCAAGTGTATCTTCATTAACTAAAATTAGGAATATATCCCAGAGGTTAAATCTTCATATGATGATATCCTAATTCTTCCCCTGGGTCCTTAGGGGCCTTGTTTTTATTTCAAAGTATAATTAAAAGAACTGTAAGCGTAATTTAAAGTGACCCCCCCATGCAAAGATGACATTGCCCGATCAGGTTAAAAGCTTTGTCTGATCAAGCATGAATTAGATATCAATGTTTTTGTTTCTTTAACCTGTTAATTTTTATATGCGGTTTCTCTGCGAAAGTGACTTGCGCATTTTTTGTTTAAAAGAAGAAATGGAAATCAGCGCTTTTCGACTCATAAAAAAGACGGTATTTTACACATTTTTTAATCAGATAAAGGTTTCAAGGATTACGGTGTATGGTCACTTAAAATTACGTCCCATAAATTTATTTGAATATATTATCCTTCTTGATTTTCTCAAGGTTCTCCATGTTCATTTTCTTTAGATACTTGTTCTTGCTCTCATAGTTCTACTACAAAAGTTCTTTTCCAGGTTCTCCAAATCCTTCTAGCTTTTTTCTTAAAACTTTAAATTCTTCTAGTTCCTTTAGATTTAAACTTGAATAGATCCTTGTTCTTTCAGTCCGGGTTCTCCTAATCATTCTAGCTTTTTTCTTAAAGCTTTAAAGTCTTCTTGTTCCCTTAGATTTCATCACATCAATTAATCCTAGTGTATGTAGTAAATACTCTACTCCATAGCAGTTTCTCGAACAAGTATCTATCCAGGTACAACTCAGATTATCTTGACTATCAATGTCAACACACGGCTACAATCCCGTGACTTATCTATGTCTCAAGTAGGATACGTTTCACACAATAACATGGATAGATATAAACGTAGTTAATCTAATCACAATGCATGTTTAAATCATATTACGTAGCTCATGTTTAATACATCTGGGTATGTTCAGGTTAACAAATATGGTACAGGTCTCTATATTTTCTACACTAGTTCTTTCGGTCCGTTCTCCATCTAATTCATTTTATTTATTTTATAGGTCCCTATTTTTATTGCTTATAAATATTCAGAAATGTCCGCCGTGACTGTCTATATTATTTAACCTGACCTGGGACATTAAACCTCAGGTGGTGGCTATTTTTAGTGAGGGGGGGGGGTCTAGAAGAACTCCGAAAGACCATTGGAGAACTGCTTATTCTTTTGTTTTCTTATTTCTGCTTCATATTTCTCTACACTACTAGTTCTATCTTTATGAACGCTATAGGCTCTCTCCCATCCTTCCTGGTTCACAATACTTCTCTTATCTACGAGGGATGGAAGACGAGCGGAGGAAGGCCACCAGCAACGATCTCTTCTTATATCGAAAACCATAAAGTTTTATTTATATCGTGAAAGGAGTTGAGTCTTTGTCACAAACTCAAATTTTCTAACCCCTATATCTTAGCAACTTGATGGTGCAAACCTTTGATATTTCAAACTTAGATTATGTGATCTACCAGATTTCATTGCTTAAAATGTCTAAGGTCTGCGGCATTGGGTTGCAAATATATAGGGAATAGAAAATCTGAGTTTGTGGCAAAGACTCAAATCCTTTAGCCATTACGTAGGGAGAAGAGAAATATTTTTACCTAAAAATAGATAGACAGCTAATTCTCTGAAGTTTCAAGGCGATAAGACATAATCTTACAATTATAGCACATTTAGGTCGAATCTTATTGTGGCCGAATTTTTTTTTAAATAGAGCTTCAAATTCTAATAGTTTTATACTTTATAAGAAGAATATTGCAAGAATGAGCATTTGGAAGCGGCTCGGAAGAAGCATTGTTGTGGCTGGCCTTCCACCCCTCTCTCTGGCATTTTTCTTCCCTTCTTCTCATTCTTGAAGAAGTAAAGATAAACCCAGCATATGGAGAAGCAGTATATCCAAACCTCCGGATTTGGTTAAGTGAGAGACCAAAGAAAATATATCCGGGCTAACAAGAAAACAAGAGCCATGAAAACCTAGGCCTGGAGCACCACGGAACTGCGCCCTCAGGTAACCCAGCAATCATAAATTCGCAATTTCTGAATTTCAAATCGTTTTTTTCTGATTCGTGAAACGTCCCCGGAGCTAACCTGGGAAATTTCTTGGTTAAACCAAATAATAAGAAAACTCGTAAAATGAATTCGAATATTTACTGCACCACTTTTTCATCATAAGTCACGATAGAAACAAGCTAAATGTAAAATTGATTTATCTGAAAAATACTTCCATTTCTGGAAATATTATTCTAATTCATTTGTATTGCGCTTTCGTTTTTTATTTTTTGTACATCTTGTTAAATTCTTTCTCATTGTGTGTTTTTGTCATCCCTACTATTGTGTATGTCTGTCATCCCTACTATTGTGTGTGTCTGTCATCCCTACTCGGGTGTGTGTCTGTCATCCCTACCCCATTATGTGATATGTCTGTCATCCCTACCCCAGTTTGTGTCTGTCATCCCTTTCCCAGTGTGTGTCTTTCATCCCTTCCCATTATGTGTGTCATCCCTAACCCAGTGTGTGTCTGTCATCCCTACCCTAGTGTGTGTTTGTGAGCCATACATCAGTACGTGTGTTTCTGGCATGCCTACCCCAGTGTATGTCTGTCATCCATAACCCAGTGTGTGTCCGTCATCCCTACCTCAGTATGTGTTTTTCATCCCTGCCCAAATGTGTGTCTGTTATCCCTACCGTGCAGTATGTGTCTGTCATACCTACCCCAGTGTGTGTCTGTCATCCATACCCCAATTTGTGTTTGCCATCCCTTGCAAAGTGTGTGTCTGTCATCCCTACCCTGCAGTGTGTGTCTGTCATACCTACCCCAGTGTGTGTCTGTCATCCATACCCCAATGTGCGTCAGTCATCCATACCCCAATGTGTGTCTGTTATTCCTTCCCCAGTGTGTGTCTGTCATGGGTATTTTTGTGGCTATCGTCTTCTTATCAGGTTCCATTGTTTAAAGATCTCATGATGAAAATTCATTTTTATAAGTTTAATCAATTCGTCTTCAGCGCGCCTTACATTCAAAATAGATTTGTCAACATTTTTAACGGTTTTCTTTTTATATCTCCACTCTACCCTACTCCACGCTACTCTTCTCCACTCTACTCTTCTCCACTATACCCTTCTCCACTCTACCCTTCTCCACTCTACCCTTCTCCACCTCTATCTTTCTCTAATTCTACCCTTCTCCACTTCTATTTTTCTCTAATTCTACCCTTCTCCACTCTACCCTTCTCCACTCTACCTTTCTCCACTCTACCCTTTTCCACTCTACCCTTCTCCACTCTACCCTTCTCCACTCAACTCTTCTCCACTCTACCTTTCCCCACTATACCCTTCTCCACTCTACCCTTCTCCACTCTAACCTTCTCCACTCTACCCTTCTCCGCTACTATACCCTTCTCCACTCTACCCTTCTCCACTCTAACCTTCTCCACTCTACCCTTCTCCGCTCTACCCTTCTCCACTCTACCCTTCTCCACTCTACTCTTCTCCACTCTACCCTTCTCCACTCTACCCTTCTCCACTCTACCCTTCTACACTCTACCCTTCTCCACTCTACTCTTCTACACTCTACTCTTCTCAACACTACCTATCTCCATTCTACCCTTCTCCAATTCTATCTTTCTCTAATTCTACCCTTCTCCACTTCCATCTTTCTCTACTCTATCCTTCTCCACTCTACCCTTCTCCACTTCTATCTTTCTCTAATTCTACCCTTCTCCACTCTACCTTTCTCCACTTCTATCTTTCTCCACTCTACCCTTCTCCCCCCTACCCTTCTCCACTCTACCCTTGTCTAATTCTACACTTCCTCCACTCTACCCTTCTCCACTTCTATCTTTATCTAATTATACCCTTCTCCACTCTACCCTTCTCCACTTCTATTTTTCTCTAATTCTACCCTTCTCCACTCTACCCTTCGCCACTCTACCCTTCTCCACTCTACTCTTCTCCACTATACCCTTCTCCACTCTTTCCTTCTCCACTTCTATCTTTCTCTACTTCTATCTTTCTCTACTTTTCTGTCTTCAAAATATCATTTTCTTCTTTATTAATATTTTCTTTTTATTTGAATACTTTTAATAAAACTTATCCATGTTCTAACTACAAAGAACTTTACTTTAAAGACCTAGGACCAGGTTTTCTTTCATCTTGTCCAAATTTTCATAAGAAAAGTAAAAAAAAAAATATATTTACTCGATGACAGAGAAAAGAGATTTCCTTGTTTTTGGCTTTCAAAACTTTCAATCATATCCGTGACCTTTCTACAATGCATTCATGGATTTCTAACGCTAAAATGGACAAACATTTTCTGATACTTGTTCCAAAAATATAAAAATAAAGGCATAAAGCTATATATATATATATACATTAAGATGAAAAGAATGACAATGTTTTCTTTAAAATGTCGATTGTACCTTTAAAAGTATCCCTTAGGTCAAAAAAATGTGACATTTTCTAAAGATTGTCCAAAAAAATATTTAGATATAATATTTTTTCATTTATCTTATATTTCTTTTTTCAATTATCATTGTTTATCGTATAAAGAGTACAGATAGATAGTTTAAAGGATTAAAGTTCACTTACTGGATTAGAATAAGAAAAGTGAAATGGATTTGATTTTCAGTTTATTACTAACATTTAATATTGTATAAACAGACCGCCCCACCCTACTCAATCCTCCTTACCCTGGCACCCTGCTGGGTTTAGCGTTATCAAATATAAATTAGGTATAAATCATCCAAACCAAACTTTTTAATCAAAATCATCCGAAACATGAATCTAATTCATTCCTCCTCCTACTCACCAGCATTATATAGATCCAGACAGCTAGGGAAATTATGCATCAATTTTTATGACCGGGTCGTCTTTGAAGTGGAAAAAAGACTTGAATTTACCTTGTTAACTGACTTTCACTGAACTGTGCTTTTAGGGCGCTTAGCGCCCATCTTCACTTGCAATTGTAAAAATGTTCTCTTTGTATACATTGTAAAACAAAAACAAACAAAATTTCGCGGAATTTATAAAAATTTTATCACCAATAAACCTTCCCTGGGGTCACATGAGGCCTCACAAATGTCTACGCACAGTTGTCTTGAAAAGTAAGACTAATACCAATGAACAGATAATAGGCTATTTAGTTTACTCTCAAATTACCCAAATAAGTGAACGGTCCCTTTAAATTAGAACAAGGAGACTTTTGCTCATTTAAGCAATTATTTTATGAGCTGGTTAGAGATACACTTGTCATTTTTCTCTACTCGACTGTATACATATATTTTGAAATATTTCATAAACTTTTGAAAAATTCCATTATTCCATTATCTTAAACTTTATTATTCCAATACTAAATATAATCTGCTCGGCTTTATACATTTTTAAAGTTTAGAGGTTAACTAATTACACTTCAAATGTGGGGAAAACATTTCTAGGCAAAAACAGGAAGGGAGAGACCGGCTATGCACGGTAGTTGAGCTGAAAGTGCAGTTTTTAGAGTAAACGTAGGATTCATTTGATACCAATGAATCATTTTTGAGGTGTACAAATTTTTAATAAGAGCGTAAAGTCGTTTGTAATATTTCACCAGTTGTATCAGCGAACAGAAGAAACGTTTTAATACAATGAATTATTCTATTTATAGACTAGTTTGCTGTTTAGGAACACGTTTTTTGAAAGAAATTATCGATGGAAGCCATAGTAGAACCGTAGAATTGATTATTTCATTATCATTTCCTTTAATGTTACTCTAAATTTCTCGCGGATTTCTTCAAAATGTCGTCTTCACAAAAAAAGTTTAAAATTTAAAGAGCGTTCCTGAACTTGTCACTGAGCGCTCTAAATTACCGATGAACCTTTAAATGTAATATATCTAAATACAGTGAAACCCTTATTAACGAATACATCGAAAGAATTCATCAAATGTCGTATTCTTCACGTTCTGATAATGGAATGTTGCAGATATTTAGTTTTTTTAATTAAATGATTATATGGAACTCTTTAAAACTGTTCCAGCATATTCATGGCTATTTATTTATTTTCGCAAATACTGAAATTTACGTAATATAGCATAAAACTCATTGAAATTGTCAAGACGACATTTGATAGATTCTTCCGATGTATTCGTTATTAAGGGTTTCACTGTATAAAGAGTAATATATCTAAGTAAAAAAGTATATATTTAAATATGAACAGATATATATTTACTTATTAGATGCAAAAGTAAAATCGATACTAAGAAAATGTCATTACATTTTTACATTTTTTAAAACTTCATTAACTGAATGCCCCCTGAAACCATAGATTTTACTTATCTAGGGAGTAGGGGGGGGGGGGGTTATCAGCCCCACCCCCTCTACTTTATACACCCATGAGAAGATTATGTCTAAATAAAACGTGCAAAGATCGATATTGTTAAAAAACATGAACTTTAATTTGACCTTAAACATTTGAAAAGTGTGATAATACCCCAAATACAGTCCTTAAAACTGAAGGAAATGAAAATGCTCTATTTTGCTTGTAAATCAGCTCTAGGCTGGGAAAATGCGCGTATTGGAAAGCGTGCTGACAGGCGCGTGATTTACCCAGTGGTCACGCACTCAACATTTAGAATAAAAAGTTTGTAGGAAATTAGGCTCGTTTTATTGTTCCCGGCGTCCAGCAATCATATAGTTGAGAGCTACGGGTTTATTTCCCATGTTCACAGCTCCAAACAATCCATCAATCAATCAAACCTGGCTTATTAAACTCTTATCGTAATTATATTCTCTTGAAATCTGTCTTCACTTAACAGTTTTCACAGCTTGCGTGTTAGTCCATTGCAGTTGGTGCGTGATGCTTACATTAAGGGACTGTTAGCTTAATTTTATGTAATTCTCCATACAAAGATGGCAATACCAGATTAGCAACAGTACCCTTAAGAAACCTGTATCTGATCAATAACGTGTAAGATATTATCGATTTTCTAGGCATAAAAGTGATTATTTCTGATAATTACTATACATACTCATGCAGTAAAATGTGCAAATCACTGTTGTGGAGTAACCCTAATTAAGATTAAAATCTATTTTCAAAATGATAAAAATTGATATCAAACTAAGTTTTTAAGGGAACCGTGTTTTCGAGTTCACCATGGTCATCATATTTTAAAATATTTAGGATAAAATGAGTCATTTACCTCGGAACAAATACAAAATACGGAACTTGTTTTCTACAGAATCGATATATTATCAATTTGGACAAATAAGATGCTTTGAAGTGTAAATTTGGATGCTTTGCGTAACCTAGCATAACCCAACCCTTGGAAATCTATTAAATACAATTCAACTGTTGGAAAAGCATTAAAAATATTCCTTTTTTGAAAAGCATCACAACTGTCTCTGATACAGGTGCAAGACAATATATGTAAAATTCCTATTGTTCCCTGATAAAATGATTCTTTTATTTTGGAATATAAAACCCTGGTATATCTTTAACATATTTTGTATTGAATAATGGGGGGGGGGAAGTATAGGGGGGGGAGGGAAATTGATGGCGCCCACATATTCTAAGTCAGTGTCATACTTTTGAGACCAAATTATGTCTATGACACTATCTGAGTCACAATTTTAAGAAAACTTTGAGACATGCTTTTGTCTAAAACACATTCTAAGTCACAATTAAGACAAAACCATACTTTTGAGCAAACTATTAAGAAATTTGTGCAATTTGGATATCCTGAGTCATTATAACCAAAAAGGGACAGGGGGAGGGGGGGGGGGCAGGGCATCTTCTACTTCTCTTGCCCAAACTTGTTCTTTCTAAGGTTTTTCTTAAAAGCAACAAAAATGATTTTTGACCAGAAAATGAAGGATTTCTTTCATCTTATTTTACAACTGATGAGGAAATATTTGTGGTTTTAAATCCATCTGAAAAGCACAGGGAAAAGCAATGCTTCCCAATTCTTAGCTCATTCAGTCATAATTTAATGTCAGTTAATATTTTCTCAAAAAGAGTGAGTGCTTTCGATGCTTTCAAATGTTGTTTTTGATGCTTTCAAATTACACTTTTGATGCTTTTCTGCACGGTCAAAGCATCCAAAGTGTTGAAATTGAAAGACATTCCATTGCAAACTATACAGACGGAGAAAGTAAAATTTATGCGACATCACTGGTACGATTTTGTGACTTTGTAGCTCCACTAGCTTGATTTTAAGCACAAGTATGAGAATGCCAATTGAGTATTTGTCAAAAATTCAAAGTTTCTTATCCTTATATCTTTGCAACCTGATGGTGTATACCTAATATATTTCAAACTTCAGCTGTTTTAGAATTCATAGCTTGAAATTTCTAAGGTTTATGATGTTAGGTTGCAAAGATGTAGGGATTCAAAAATTATAGTTTGAGGGCGTGGCCGGTTATATATTAGAAATTCAAAACATTTTCTTCTGCTCACTAGCTCTTTAGTTAAAGGAGTTATGATTGAAAACATTTAAGATTTTAATAGAATAAACAATTTACTTAAGTTTGACGTGATGTATTGGACCCCTATAAAGTTAGTTCTACGTGATGTAAGAGCTCTTAAAAGCGGTTGGAGCTGATTGTATAGCCTGGAAGATAAAGAATATCTAAGTTGTAATATTTAAAACCTGAAAA